TATTCAGCGCTATTCGGAATAGCGCTGATTGGTTGCTTCAATGACGCATTCTCTATTCCGCAGTCTTTTTCCACACCGTGTGATTTCACCCTAAGATGTCAGCTGATCTCTTACGGAAAACAGCTATGTTAAGACCATCACACGTACAAAAATTTTAGTCGTAATCATAAGACCGTAAGCAAATCGGCCAATCACAGTCGAGCGTTTTAAAACGCGAAATCGTAATTTTGATTGTGATTAGTCGATTGCGACTTTTTACAATTACGACTAAAATTTTTGTACATGTGATAGCCTTTAATTACAGTGCTACCAACCTTGTACCTAAAAAGAAAATTTTCGACACAGCTATCGGAACACAACCTCGGTATTCTTCGGATAGCTTCGTACATCGTCGGAAAACGAGTGCGAAAAATAGAAAGAGATAGATAGCTACAAGCAGATGAGTAAAAGCTGTGTTAGAGGTTAGAAATCGTTCCGAAATCTCGGACAAAGAGAAAATTAACAAATTACAATTACACAATTCGGCCAATTGATCAACTTAAGTTTCTTCAGGTATTGCCTGTTACGTATTCTAACACTTTTTGCGCATGCGTACATACGAGAAAGCAATATCTGTTATCTCTCTCTATCCGCCATTTTTGGTCCACGTTCGCCAAACTCTGATTATAGGATCTCTACTCCGCGACTATTTCTCTCTCTTTCTGGGGTGGGAGTCGCTTTGCATGGAAATTGTGCGCCCCTAAGTAGAGGGAGGTGGGGTAAGAGTCGTGGGAGTCGTTTCGCGTGGAAAGTTGTAATATATACTTCAAAGCAGAAAATTTCTGTTTTATATAATAGAAGAGAGAGACATTATTTTTTAAACTTCTTTCGTTAATAACTTTTTAATGAAGGACGAGCGATGGCTAAAACCTGTTGGAGGTTACTCAGAGTCATGACCTTGAAAATATATGTTAAAGTCAAGGTCATAGGAGGGAGTTCCTTGTTCGGTATAATTACCATCCAACTCAAGTTATAATTATCATTATAT